TACATTTACACCACATATGAGCATATGTCCCGAGTTCCACTTTACATCTCCAACACATTTTATCCACTTTATTATCCATTTGAAAAAGTCTTATTGGGTCAAATACCACTTTTTTCCCCCCTTACTGTTGATTTTTGTATTGATTTTTTTTCCCTTTCTGTTATTCTTTAACAATAAAAATATAATAAAAAATTAAAAAAAAAAAAACTAAGGAGAAAATTCCTGACAGTGAGAATAATCAGCCAGTGAACAAATTGCCTGTGGAAGTTGTGGATGCCCCATGACGAGGCTTTCAAGGAGAGACTAGACAGCCATTTGTCAGAAATAGTATAGGTCTCCTGCTAGAGCACGGGGCTGGACTAGATGACCTCCAAGGTCCCTTCCAACTCTGTTGCTGTTACTGCTTTCAATGCAAAGTGAATGCGCTACACGCTACAGGTAGTCCTCAATTTACAACCTTTCGTTTCGTGAAGTTTTCGAAGTTACAAAGGAAGTGGAAAAAGTGACTTATGATGTTTTTCACACATACGACCAAGGGTGAAATGCTCCCGGTTCGGACCGGATCGCCCGATCTGGTAGCAATAGCGGCGGGTGGTTCAGAGAACCGGTAGCAAAAATCCCTGCCCACCCCCCACCCCCATGCCCAACCAAGCCCAGAAATCACCAGAGCCTGTTTTTTTAACTTTTAAAAGCATTTTTTCTACAACCTCTTCGGCCGAAAAAAGGTTTTAAAAAGAAAAAAAAAAAAAAGCTTCTGATGATCGCACGGCTCAGCTGGGATCATCAGAGGCTTTTAAAAGCATTTTTTCTGCAACCTCTTCAGCCGAAAGAATGCTTTTAAAAGTTAAAAAAAAAAAGGTTCTGATGATGACACGGCTCAGCTGGGATCGTCAGAGGCTTTTAAAAGGATTTTTTCTACAACCTCTTCAGCCGAAAAAACGCTTTTAAAAGTAAAAAAAAAAAGGCTCTGATGATCGCGCGGCTCAGCTGGGATCGTCAGAGGCTTTTCAAAGCATTTTTTCTACAACCTTTTCAGCCAAAGAGGTTGTAGAAAAAAAAAATGCCTTTAAAAGCCTCTGGCGATCCCAGCTGTATCGCCTGATCGTCAGAGGCTTCTAAAACCTCTTAAGGTTGTAGAAAAAATGCTTTTAAAAGTAAAAAAAAAAATAGTTGGCCACGCCCACCCAGTCACATTAACCCCCCCCAACCAAGCCACGCCCACAGAACCGGTAGTAACAAATTTTACATTTCACCACTGCATATGACCATTGCAGCATCTCTTTGGTTACATGATCAGAATTCAGATGCTTGGCAACTGATTCGGCTTTATGACGGTGGCGGTGTCCTGGGGCCGTTGTGCGATCGCTTTTCGTAGCTTTCTGACAAGCAAAGTTAACGGGGAACGGGAGATTCACTTAACGACCCTGTTAACTATGATGTGATCGAAATTGGGATGTTGGCAACCAGTTCGTATTTATGACGGTTGCAGGGTCCCAGGGTCATGTGATCCCTTTTTTGTGACCTTTTGACGAGCAACGTCCGTGGGGAAGCCAGATTCACTCAACGACGACGTTGCTGACTGAACAACGGCAGTTATTCACTTAACAGCTGTGGCAAAGATAGGTCGTTGAACGGGTTAAAATTCACAGCCTCGCTTAGCAACAGAAAATTTGGGCTCAATTGCTGTTGTAAGTCGAGGACTTCTGGGAGTTGAAGTCCACAAGTCTTAAAAGTTGCCAAGGTTGGAGACCCCTGGATTAGAGCATCCTAGTCGCAGGCAGCAATCACAAGCGAGAGATTCGGGTTGACAGAGGGGGCGGTCATGCGGCTGTTCCATACCCATGAGGACTTGAAACTTGAGGTGATAAATCTCAGCTTGGAGATGATAAATCATAAAAGAAAGTGGCAAGAGGGGCAGGATATACCTGCCACCCTCCATAGGATTCCAGCATCCTCAGCCCCAGGCAGCAATCACAAGCGAGGGATTCCGGTTGACGGAGGGGGTGATCATGTTCCACACCCATGAGGACTTGAAACTTGAGGTGATAAATCTCAGCTTGGAGATGATAAATCATAAAAGAAGGTGGAAAGAGGGGCAGGATGCCACCGGTGCTACCTGCCCTACAATTCAAAAGCATCCTCAGTTCCAGCCAGCGTTCCAAAACAAAGGGGCTTTGGGTCGTGGGTAAGGAGTGCAAAGTTGTTCTGGACTCATGAGGACTTGAAACTTTTTTTTTTTAATTTGATTTATATGCCGCCCTTCTCCGGAGACTCAGGGTGGCTTACAGTGCGTTAAGCAATAGCCTTCATACTTTTGTATATTTATACAAAGTCAGCTTATTGCCCCCACAAACCGGGTCCTCAATTTACCCACCTTAGAAAGGATGGAAGGCTGAGTCAACCTTGAGCCTGGCGAGAATTGAACTCGCAGTAATTGCAGGCAGCTGGATGTTAAATGCTGCCTTAGGAGGCATTAGCCTCCTACGCCACTCAGGCTCCTACTTGAGCTGATAAATCATAAAATAAGGTGGCAAGAGGGGCAGGATATACCTGCCACCCTCCATAGGATCCTCAGCCCCAGGCAGCAATCACAAGCGAGGGATTTGGGTTGACTGAGGGGGTGATCATGCAGGTGTTCCACACCCATGAGGACTTGAAACTTGAGGTGATGAATCTCAGCTTGGAGATGATAAATCATAAAAGAAGGTGGCAAGAAGGGGAAGGACGCCTGTGCCCCAGCCCTACAATTCAAAAGCATTCTCAGCCCCAGGCGTCCATCGAAAACGAAGGGGGTTTGGGTCGGCAGGTGGGGAGGAGGGGAACGGGCCCGAGTCTGTTCAGCACTCCTGAGGGCTTGAAACTTGAGATGACAAATCTCAGCTCGAGACAATAAATCATAAAATAAGGTGGCAAGAGGGCAGTGGTGAAATCCAATTTTTTTTTTACTAGCGGTTCTGTGGGCGTGGCTTGGTGGGGGGCATGGTTTGGCTTGGTGGGCGTGGCTTGGTGGGCATGGCAGGGGAAGGATACTGCAAAATCTCCATTCCCACCCCACTCCTGGGGGGAAGGATATTGCAAAATCCCCATTCCCACCCCACTCTGAGGCCAGCCAGAGGTGGTATTTGCCGGTTCTCTGAACTACTCAAAATTTCTGCTACCAGTTCTCCAGAACCTGTCAGAACCTGCTGGATTTCACTCCTGAAAGAGGGGCAGGAGAATGCCGGTGCCATTTGCCCTACGAGTCAAAAGCATCCTCTCTCAGCCCCAGCCATCGAATCGCAAGGAAGGGATTGGCGGGTGGGGGAGGAGGAGGACGGGAAGGAGCGCGCGGCTGCTCCCCACCCCTGAGGACTTGAAACTTGAGATGACAAATCTCAGCTCAGAGAGGATAAATCATAAAATAAGGCGTGCAAGAGGATTCCAGCATCCTCAGCCCCAGGCAGCAATCAGAAGGGAGGGATTCGGGTTGACGGAGGGGGGGGGGTGATCCTGCGGCTGTTCTGCACCCCATGAGGACTTGAAACTTGAGACGATCAGTCTCGGCTTGGAGACGATAAATCATAAAAGAAGGCGGCAAGAGGTTGCAGCAGGATGCTGGTGCTACTTTGCCCTCCGATTCAGAATAGAATAGAATAGAATAGAATAGAATAGAATAGAATAGAATAGAATAGAATAGAATAGAATAGAATTCTTTATTGGCCAAGTGTGATTGGACACACAAGGAATTTGTCTTGGTGCATAGGCTCTGAGTACATGAAAGAAAAGAGACGTTCATCAAGAATCATAAGGTACAACACTTAATAATAGTCATAGGGAACAAATAAGCAATCAGGAAACAATATCAATATAAGTTGTAAGGATACAAGCAACAAAATTACAGTCATACTCTCATAACCAGCCATCGAATCGCAACCAAAAGGAGTCGGCGAGGAGGAAGGAGGAGGAGGAGGGGAAGGATCGCGTGGCTGCTGCTCCGTACCCCATGAGGACTTGAAACTTGAGATGATCAATCTCGGCTTGGAGCCACAAAACAAGAGGGGGTAGGATGGATACCAGGGCCCCTATGCCCTCCATTTAAAAGCATCCTCAGCCCCAGCCATCAACTCGCAAAGAAGGGGGAGGAGGAGGAGGAGCAGGGGAAGGATCACACGCCTGCTGCTCCGTACCCCATGAGGACTTGAAACTTGAGATGATCAATCTCAGCCTTGGAAACAATAAATCACAAAACAAGAGGGGGCAGGAAGGACGCCGGGGGGGGGCTTTGCCCTCCCATTCAAAAGCATCCTCAACCCCAGCCATCGACTCGCAACGAAAGGGCCCGTACTGCTCCGCACCCCATGAGGACTTGAAACTTGAGATGACCAATCTCGGTTTAGAGACGATAAATCACAAAACAAGAGGGGGCCAGGAAGGACGCCGGGGGGGGGGGGGGCTTTGCCCTCCCATTCAAAAGCATCCTCACTCAGCCCCAGTCATCGAAGGGATCGGGGGAGGGGGAGGAAGGAAGAGGAGGAAGGGAAGGATCGCGCGCCTGCTGCTCCGTACCCCATGAGGACTTGAAACTTGAGATGATCAATCTCAGCCTTGGAGCCGATAAATCACAAAACAAGAGGGGGCAGGAAGGACGCCGGGGTGGGGGGGGCCCTTTGCCCTCCCATTCAAAAGCATCCTCAACCCCAGCCATCGACGCGCAACGAAAGGGCCCCTACTGCTCCGCACCCCATGAGGACTTGAAACTTGAGATGATCAATCTCAGCCTTGGAGACGATAAATCACAAAACAAAAGGGGGGCAGGAAGGACGCCAGCGGGGGGGGGCTTTGCCCTCCCATTCCAAAGCATCCTCACTCAACCCCAGCCATCGACTCGCAACGAAAGGGCCCGTACTGCTCCGCACCCCATGAGGACTTGAAACTTGAGATGATCAATCTCAGCCTTGGAGCCGATAAATCACAAAACAAGAGGGGGGCAGGAAGGACGCCGGGGTGGGGGGGCCCTTTGCCCTCCCATTCCAAAGCATCCTCACTCAACCCCAGCCATCGACTCGCAACGAAAGGGTCCCTACTGCTCCGCGCCCCATGAGGACTTGAAACTTGAGCCGGCGATCTCGCGCTAAAACGGCCGTCCTCCGGCACTGGATCACAACCAACCAACCAACCAGCCAGCCAGCCAGCCCGGCCAAGGACGCGAGCGGCCGAAAACGGTGCGGAGGCTGAGGCGGAAGGCCGGGCGGGAGAGAAACCCCCGCGGGAGGAGCTCCCCCCCCCCTCCGCCTTTCCTCGGGCTCGCTCCGGGCTGCAGCGGAGCGAACCGCAAGGCGCGGCTCGGGGAGCGGAGCGCTGAGCTTTGGCGAGCATCATCAACATCACCGGCGCCCATCAGCCGTGAACGGAACGGGGGGAAAGAGAGAGAGAGAGAGAGAAAGCCGGCTGCCGGTCCGCGGCCCCCTGGCGGATCGGCTCCGCATGGCCCGAGCTCCGGACGCCGCCGTTGCCACCGCCCCTGCCCGCCTCGCCCCCGGCTGGCTCCCGAGGTAGGAGGCGGCAGCGGCGGCCGGTTGGTTGGTTGGGTTCCCCCATCCACCCACCCTTCTTCCCTCCGGATCGCCAGCATGAGCGTGGCTCTCCAGGAGCTCGGCAACAACGTGAGTAGCTGCCAACCCACCTACCCACCGGCTGCCCGCCCGCTTTCAGCCGAGGGCCGGGCTTACCTATGTGTATGTATGTGTGTGTGTATGGGTTTTTTTGCAGAAGCGCAGCGCCACCGAGAGCCGGGCTGAACCGGGAAGGAAGCCGACCCCTTTGCCTTGCCAAAAAGCGGGGAGGCTTTTTAATTTTTTTGGGGGGGTGGGTGGGGAGGGAGAGAGGGGTTTGGAAACGCCATGCCCGCAACTTTTATCCCTCGCCCGCCTACCCGCTCATTTTTATTTTTTTTTTAAATTTATTATTATTTATTTATTTATTATTCGAATTTCTATACCGCCCTTCTCCTTTTCGGACTCAACAGCCAAAATAAAAACCTTTATGCATAAAAGTAGGATTCAAAAACAGATTGAAAATAATTAAATTTGGCCCATCGTTAATCATAATGAAATCATAATTATTATAATTGTTAATAATTGTTAAATAATATTAAATTGTTAATAATTATTACATTAAATTATTAGTAATCATTAAATAATAATTAAATAGGCCCATAGGCCCATGTATCGATTTAAAATCCATATCAAAATTTAAAACCAACCATAAAATCGTAAAATAAAAGAGAGACCGGTGCTAACTGAAAGAGATGAGTTTGATTGATATGCCGCCCTTCTCCAGAGACTCAGGGCGGCTTACAGTGCGTTAAGCAACAGCCTTCATCCTTTTGTATATTTATACCAAGTCAGCTTATTGCCCCCACAAACTGGGTCCTCAATTTACCTACCTTAGAAAGGATGGAAGGCTGAGTCAACCTTGAGCCTTGGCGGGATTCGAACCTTCAGTAATTGCAGGCAGCTGGTCTTAATAACCAGCTTAATAACAGGGTGCCTTAGGCCACTGTACTACCAAGGCTCTTATCCACCCGTGTCCGGGGAAAACTCGGGCGTGATTGGGCTTGAAACGCGGGGACACGCGCGCCTCTCCGCGCTTGCAGATTGAAGGGTGGGTGGGCTGTGGAGCATGGCCCCCCCCCATTTTTTTATATTTTTTTTAAGACCGCCCCAGCTGGTTTCAGTCCTTCCTTGGGATGGATGCCCGGACAACGAGGGGCATAGGTTTAGGATTGGGTGCCCTCATCTGTTTCTCCCAAAGGTGCTGCTATTATTATTATTATTATTATTATTATTATTTATTGGTTAATCTTTAGTGAGATTCACAGCCTTTGAGGCTGGTTAATAGCTCAGCAGCTCAAGTCCTAACCAAGGACCTAGGAACTGTTAAGGTATCGTCGGAGGATGTAAGCTGTTCCGAGTAAGGTGGTTTTTTGTAGAGTCAAAATGTTCAAGTCCGGCAAATTTAGAATTTCTAAATAGCGGGGTAGCCCTTTGGGTATTGCTCCAAGGGCTCCAATTACTATCGGGACAACACACAATTTCTTTTTCCACAGTCGCTCAACTTCATTTTTTATTATTATTATTATTATTATTATTATTATTATTATTATTATTATTTAATCTTTAGTGAGATTCACAGCCTTTGAGGCTGGTTAATAGCTCAGCAGCTCGAGTCCTAACCAAGAACCTAGGAACTGTTAAGGTATCGTCGGAGGATGTAAGATTATTATTATTATTATTATTATTATTATTATTATTATTATTATTATTATTTAATCTTTAGTGAGATTCACACAGCCTTTGAGGCTGCTTAATAGCTCAGCAGCTTGAGTCCTAACCAAGAACCTAGGAACTGTTAAGGTATCATCGGAGGATGTAAGCTGTTCTGAGTAAGGTGGTTTTTTGTAGAGTCAAAATGTTCCAAGTCCAGTAAATTTAGAATTTCTAAATAGAGGGTAGCCCTTTGGGTATTGCTCCAAGGGCTACTATTACTACTACTACTACTACTACTACTACTACTACTACTACTACTACTACTATTATGCAAGAGGCAACTGGACTTTCTGGTTTTTGCTTTGAAGATGTTTCCCTTCCCATCCACAGGAAGCTTCTTCAGTTTTGAGGAAGCTTCTCGGGAGGAACTGAAGAAGCTTCTGGGAGGAGAAGCAAAAGGTCTTCGAAGCAAAAACCAGAAAATCCAGTTGCCTCTTCCGGGGGGGTGGTAAAGCATCTTTGGGGCAACCTGGATGACCGAGAATCGGGGTGAAATCCAGCAGGTTCTGGAGAACCAGTAGTGGAAATGTTGAACAGTTCGGAGACCCAGTAGCAGAAATTTTGAGTAGTTCGGAGAACCGGCAAATACCACCTCTGGCTGGCCCCAGAGTGGGGTGAGAATGGAGATTTTGCAATATCCTTCCTCCTGCCATGCCCACCAAGCCACACCATGCCCACCAAGCCACGCCCACAGAATCGGTAGTAAAAAAATTTGGATTTCACCACTGCCGAGAATCCCCATTGACATCCCTCATCCTAGCCTTCCTTTCTGATGTCCTCCTACTTACTTACTGACTTACTTTACTTGATTTATATACCGCCCTACTCCCGAAGGACTCAGGGCGGTGAACAGCCAAACAGTAAAAATACATAGATACAAAATTTAAAAACAAAGTAAAATCGAATTAAACAATTTGGCCCAGACAGATTAAAACACCCCAATCATTTAAAAACCAATTAAAATTTGCATAATTAAAAAGAGGGAAAAGATTAGGCCAGGCCCGCCTGGTGGAATAAAAAGGTCTTAAGAGCGCGGCGGAAGGTGCGTAGATCCGGGATCCTCCGTATCTCCGGGGGGAGCTCGTTCCAGATCGTAGGTGCCCCCACAGAGAAGGCTCTCCCCCTGGGGGCCGCCAGTCGGCATTGTTTGGCCGATGGCACCCGGAGGAGCCCCTCTCTATGGGAACGTACCGGCCGGTGGGAGGCTATTGGTGGTAGTAGGCGGTCCCGTAGACCGCCTACTTGTGGTGGCCACTCTCCCAAAATACCCTTGATAGCGGAGCATTAATAAGCCCTCTGGTGGAATCAAGGGTGGGCGAGGGTTCAGAGGTGGCACCCCCTCCCCACCCCCGTGGTTTCCTGATTGCCGGGGCTAATTGGGCGATCGAAGCTGGAGAGACCTGGTCTGTCCCTGAACTTTTGAAGCTGGGGGGCTCTGGATAAAAGTCGAAAACAGAGTTTGATGCTGACCTAGCATCATTTTTTTTTGTTGGAATCCTGGTTAAGTTTTGGAGAAAGACTTCATGCACCCTAAGCTTGTGAGGCTGCTTTCATCAAACCTTAGAGTGATTTAGAACAGGGGCCAGCTTTGCTGGGGAATTCTGGGAGTTGAAGTCCTCCAGGCTTAAAAGTTGCCAAGGTTTAAAAGAGATTGTAGAGATGAACTGCTTCAATCTTTGTTCAGTGGGGGAAAGACACTTAACCATCCTATAAGGTTACTAAACACAACTAAACACAAGAACAGTTTTTTCCCGGACGCCATCACTCTGCTAAACAAATAATTCCCTCAACACTGTCAAACTATTTACTAAATCTGCACTACTATTAATCTTCTCATCGTTCCTATCACCCATCTCCTCCCACTTATGACTGTATGACTGTAACCTTGTTGCTGGTATCCTTATGATTTATATTGATATTGTTTCCTGATTGCTTATTTGTACCCTATGACTATCATTAAGTGTTGTACCTTATGATTCTTGATGAACGTATCTTGTCTTTTATGTTGTGTCCAATCACACTTGGCCAATAAAGAATTCTATTCTATTCTATTCTATTCTATTCTATTCTATTCTATTCTATTCTATTCTATTCTATTCCATTCCATTCCATTCCATTCCATTCCATTCCATTCCATTCCATTCCATTCTATTCTAGCCAGGCCATATAGAATTTTTTCTCCTGTCCCTTTCTCCTTCTTTATTCCGGTTTCTACTAAGCTACAGGTAGTCCTTGACTTATGACCACAACTGAGCCCAAAATTTCTTTTTTTTTTAAATTTTTTTTTTTTTTTTTTTTTAAGACAGACAAACATTTAATACATCAATCCTCCCTTCCCTGTGATGTCTCGGTGTTATCTTCTAGGCTTCTTTTCCATCTTCCATAAATTTCTTCTATCTTCATATTCATCCAAACCGTTCTAACAGTTCATTTCTAAATTCAACATTATAATCATCATTTATACATACAGTAATTATACTATCAATCATTTGTATCTCTTTTCCAACCAATTATAAAAATAGTTCCATGTTTTAAAATATTCTGATTCCTCCTTATCTTTAATCATCAAAGTTAATCTATTCATTTCTGCACAGTCTAAAAATTTTTTTATTACTTCTTCTTCCAAAGGTATTTTCTTTATTTCCAATTTTGAGCATACACAATTCTTGCAGCTGTTATTACATGTATAATCAAATACATGTAATACCGAGCCTTGGTAGTACAGTGGTTTAAAGCACCCTGTTATTAAGACCAGCTGCCTGCAATTACTGCAGGTTTGAATCTCGCCAGGCTCAAGGTTGACTCAGCCTTCCATCCTTTCTAAGGTAGGTAAATTGAGGACCCAGTTGTGGGGGCAATAAGCTGACTTTGTATAAATATACAAAAGGATGAAGGCTATTGCTTAGCGCATTGTAAGCTGCCCTGAGTCTCCGGAGAAGGGCGGCATATAAATCAATTTTTTTAAAAAAAATACGCATTTTAACGGAGCCCAAAATTTCTGTTGCTAAGCAAGGCAATTGTTAAGGGATTTGTGCCCCAGTTTATGGCCTCTTTTTTTTTGCCATGGTTATTAAGTGATTTGCGGCAGTCGTTAAGTAAATTATGCCGTCGTTAAGCAAATCTGGCTTCTTCCATTGACTTCGCTTGTTGGAATCCGGCTGGGAAGGTTACAAGTGGTGATGATATGACTCCAGGGACCACACTACTGTCCTAAATGCATAAATAGATAAATTACAATGGTGCTGAAAAATGTGGCTTGCAACTGGTCCTCAGACTTACGACCGTCTCAGCATCCCTATGGTCATGTGATTGCAATTCAGGCACTTTTAACAACC